AGATTCGAATTTAAATAAGTGATAAAAAACTATACAGGTTGTAATGAAATATAGATAACTTCATAATTCTTCGGATTTACGTAAAAGGTTATTTTTAAATCGTTTGAGTACGCTTGTGCAAAGTTATTGCGGAATGATTAACGTGAAACGTCAAAAGGTATTTCTTAGATTTGGTTGACTATAACAATAAAACTAAATATTTTTGCTTGTCCGTCATATTCAAAACCCTATATACCAAAAATTATTTACAGGTTTGTGAGAACGAAGAAATCCGGCCTTCAACGCCAGCACAAAGTTCACAAATAGAGAAAATTGAAATTGAAGTTGACATTAGCGATCTCGATTCAATATTTGACACGCCAAGGAAAGTACACCTAAAAAAAAGAATTGATAGGTTAGAAAAACGTCTAAGTGTTGCAACCAAAAAAATAAAAAATTTACAGAAACAGAATACAAGGTTAAAAAAGAAAAACAAATCACTGCTATATATAATTAAAGATTTTAAACAGAAGAACACAGAGGCAATTGAGTCCGCTCTTGGAAGCTTTTAAAATATTCTAATACCTAATTATTGTAACAATAATAAGTTGTTTCCATTTGAAAAAAAAGCCGCTCTTGGAAGCTTTTGAAATATTCTAATACCTAATTAATGTAACCATAATAAGTTGTTTACATTTTTAAAAAAAAAGATGATTGACATTACTTAGTTTGTTTTAATTACGTTTTCGTGTGACCTGTAAAATATCATCGCAAAAAGGAAATCTGTAGGTATGTGTGTATATTTTTATAGGATAGGGTGACGAACGAACACACAGTCCACCTGATGGTAACTGGTTGCTGTGGCCCATAGGCATCTACAGCTATCCTCGATTACGAATCAAATGCGTTGTCAGCCGTGAGGACTAAGATGGAATGCCTCGTTTCCAGTAAAAAGGGTCTCCGGTTCTCTACACTCACCATACAAAACAGCAGCATTAAGCTACTTTACGCTATTTTACGTTGATATTCTGTGAGAGCGTGGTCCTTCCCCCGGTCGAGCCGACCCATTCGTGCTACAACTAGGTATATATAATTGCAGCATGACTCTGCCATATATATATATATATATATATATATATATATATATATATATATATATATATATATATATATAAATGTAAGAGGGACACCGGGGAAGAAGGATTAGGGACCATAACCGAAATGTTTAATGACTATGAACTTTCCGTCGATAAGACAGTGAAGGCGATATAGTTTGAACGGTTTTCAATAGATGTCACTACATGATTCAGTAGCCACAAAACATGAAGACACCTTTTACAGTTGTGAATTAAACTAGATCAAAGTTAGCGCGTTTTTTTGTGAACCATTAGTGTGGTGAAAAAAGAGTGCTAGAAATATTTTAAATGTAATGATACACAAAGAAAACTGTAAGTATTTCTTTTTATTAACCATTTTAGTTTAAAAACAACTAATAATATGAGTTTCTTTCGCTTGAAAATCCTGACCTTCAAAAACAATAGCTGGGGAAAAGGCTCACTATACTTACACGATGAAAGAGGCACATATGTTTCTCTTCCCCCATGTCAGGGGTAACACACATTTTGAATAATTTATAATTGTAGGTAGATAAAATAAAAAGAATTGACTGATTGTTCTGGCCACAGAAATCGTAATAATAAGACTATAGAAGTCGCATAAACGCGTGACCTTGTCGCCGTTATGTTGTGTTGACGAACATCATTCACCATTTTGTGATTTAGTTGAGCGGTTAACGTCGTACGTGAATTTATTTCATTATAAATTTATAATGGTGAACTGCAGCATAATCAGCTGTAAAAACTCATCAAGGACGTATAATTCAACTAATAAAGGCATAACATTTCATCGGTAAGTTGATTATTTACTAATTATCAGTGTTTTAACTAATTTACATCTAGATGAATACTTTACTATATATTTACCTTTGTAAACTTTCATTTATTACTTTTCACATCGTACAATTACCATTGCTGCATTTGTTCTACCGTAATACGCGACGAACGCGACGTTTACAAACTCGCCAAGCAATGTAATGTGGAACATTAAATATCATTGTGCTTTGCGTATGTTTATATAATACGGTAAGATATGGCGACATTGGTTTTGGAAGTAATCGAGCGCTAATTCATTTCTATTGTCTTATTATTACTATTTCTGCGGTTCTGACCTACTACAATTTTAAATTATAACTAGAAATTTCCCGTGACTTTGTCCGCGTGTAACTTAACTTTCCCGTAAATTGCCGTTTTATCATATTATTTATAACCTGTGTTACCCAGGGATAATGCAGCATTCTATGTGTTAAAGAATTTTTTAAATCGGTCTTGTAGTTTTTGAGTTACCTAAATCATAACAAACAAATAAAAAATCAAATATTTTCTTTTTATTATATTAGTTTAGATAAATAAAGTTTCATGCGTTTTGTATACGTCCCTTTCTTTTTAATTGTAATATTTTGTTATATCACTTTTGACTGTTGCAGGAATGATATACATATATAATAAAACATACCGCGAAAATATATAAGAAAATCTGATAGAAGCAGATATGATAATGATAAATTAAGTGAGGCTGTAAATGCAGTAAAAAATGGAAAAATATCTGCATACACCGCGTCAAAACTTTATAATATACCAGGAACAACAGTTGTTAACCGTGTATACGACCGCAAAGGTTTAAAATCCAAAACTTTAGACAGGTGTACTGCACTGCCCACGGATGTGGAAGAAACACTTGCGGAAAATCTCCACGTAATGGAAAAATCGGGGTTTGGGTTAACGCGCAAGGAATTGATTGAATTAGTTGGCCAATACGTGGTTGAGAATAACATTAAAACTTCGTTTAAAGATGGGATCCCTGGAGGGGACTGGTTTATTGCTTTTAAAAATAGACATGGTCTTTCTGTTAAAAAAAACCCAGGCCGTTGAACACGCGCGTAAATCTGCATGCAGGCCTGCCGTGATCTTCGGTTACTTTGATGTATTAGAGAAAACTATTAATTAACTACGTGATAAACCATCACATATTTGGAATCTCGACGAAACCAGCTTCAGTAGGACCCGAATAAGTCAAATGTTGTTAGTCGTTGAGGCTATACGACTACAAGAACCATCGCCTCTCCAGGGAAAACCAATACAACCGTGCTTTTAGCATGCAATCCCGCTGGTGACAAAGCTCCGTCGCTAAATCTATACACAGGAAAAACTAACTAACCAAAAAAGTTGGATGGAGGCGACAGTATTCGATTTTTTTTCCTAAAAATTTTTTTGATAACCATTGAAAATAAACGCCTATTCTCTTGCTTTAAGATGGTCATTCTACTCATGTGGGAATTAATATTATACAAAAGACACAAGAAAACAACATAACGATTTTAGAAATTCCACCTTATACGAGTCATCTATTGCAGCCTCTGGATCTAGCGGTAAATAAATCGTTCAAAGACAAATGGGACATAGCGTTAGTCAAATGGCAAAGACTGAATGTCGGTAAGGTTTTGCGAGGGCTGCACTAAAAGCATCGGGAATGGAATATTTCCCCTGTTCCTGTCATATTAAAATCTTTTTAATTGAAAACTCCTTGGTTTTAAAAATCGAATACCATTTATTTATTTAAAAAAAAGATTCTCGGTCTTTCAAGGTTTTGTCAAACTTGTTTAGTCGTTGAGAAAATGGGACTGACGCGAGAAAATTCAAGAGCGATGATTTATTATGACTTTCGAAGTGGTTTAACACAAAAACAGTTGTTGACCGGATGATTTCTGCATTTGGTGATGAAGCCCCATCCAAAACCACAATTTATTGCTGGTTTGCTGAATTTCAACGTGGACGTGTCAAGCTCAGTGATGATCCCCGTCAAGGTCGTCCAAAAACTGCAGTCACCCAAGAAAACATTGATGCTGTGCGTAAGCTGATTGAGGAAGATCGACATGTGACATACCGCGAAATTCAGGCAACTTTAGACATTGGCATGAATCAAATACAAATAATCTTGCATGAACAATTAGGTGTAAAAAAGTTGTTTTCCCGATGGATACCGCATTTGCTCTGTGAAGAGCAAAAAGCGGCTCGCGTTACTTGGTGCGTCAGAACTCGAAAGATTCCACGCAGGATCGTCAAATGCTGTATACAACATCGTATTAGGTGACGAATCCTGGATATACGCGTACGAACCCGAAACAAAAAACCAGTCACGAGTTTGGGTGTTCGAAAATGTGTTAAAGCCAACAAAAATTGTTCGTTCACGGATTGTTGAAAAAAAAATGGTGGCCACGTTTGTCTCCAAAATCGGCCATGTTACGACTATTCCTCTTGAGGGACAAAGAACGGTTAATGCAGAATGGTATGCTAGCATTTGTCTGCCACATGTCTTTTCTGAACTCCGTAAAAAGAACTGCAACCGCCCCATCATCCTCCATCACGACAATGCGAGTTCTCACACCGCACACTGAACAAAAGAGTTTTTAGAGCAAGAAAACATAGAATTATTAGACCATCCGCCGTACAGCCCCGACCTAAGCCCTAATGATTTCTATACTTTCCCTAAAATAAAGAATAAATTGCGTGGACAGAGATTTTTATCACCTGAAGAAGCTGTGGACGCCTACAAAACGGCCATTTTGGAGACCCCAACTTCCGAATGGAATGGTTGCTTCAACGATTGGTTCCATCGATTGAAAAAATGTGTCAAATTTCGCGGAGAATACTTCGAAAAGCAATAAATACATTTTTAAATAGTAATGTTGTGTCACCTCCTTGATTCCCGAAATTTTCAGTGCCGCCCTCGTATAGCAAGAGATTTATACACCAACGAATTTGTACAAAATTATGAACCCTGTAATGAACAAGAGGATAAAATGTTTAGCATAGATAAGAAAAGCAATGTGGTGAAGAAAGTTGGTGAGAATTTGGACAAGCAAAGCAAGGAGACAGTGAATTTTACTCAGGAATCAGGTGAAAAATATGGTAACAGGGGAATTTAACGGCGAATGGGAAGGGCTGACAGAAGTGGAAAAGGAAGAGTATTGTCCATTTAATGATCAAGCAGTTACTGACGGGAGTAAGGTGATACATGAAGTCAGTGTAATATCGGAAGATAGAAACGATGTAGTGAAAAAAGTTTGTGATAGTTCGGATGAGAGATATCAGGCGGCACAGGAAGTTGGTGAGAGATCGCATCAAAGGAACAACAATAAAATGGCAAAAGAAAGTAATGACAAATGGGATGTGAAAAAAATATAGATGAGAACATGTTGCTTTGGCCCATAGACATCTACATCTATCCTCGATTACGAATCAAAATGCAGATGCCTTGTCACCAGTGAGGACTTAGGTGGAATGCCTCGTTTCCAGTAAAAACGGACTCCGATTCTCTATACTCACCATACGAAACGCAGCAGCATTAAGCTGCTATTTGACGCTGGTATTCTGTGAGAGCGTGGTCCCTCCCCGGTCGAACCAACCCATTCGTGCTACCATTATACTACCAATATAACTGCAGCATGGCTCTACCACATTTAAGTTCATGGTTAAATAAATATAGAAATATAACTGGTCGACTTCTGTTTAATTTGCCACCTGTGATTGAACCTGTATTTTCCTCTTACCCCGAATTGATTTATTCTTCTTTTTCATTCCAAATGATACTTTATTTCATCAATAGTAAAATCTAATATTGACCAAAGCAGTTCTACCTACAAATTAACAAACATCTAGTTACAAATATTTTAATTCAAACTACAATCTCTTTTATCTTATCTTAATACAATGACTGTCCCTCTTACCCCATGTGAGAGGGAAGAGGAACATTTATTTAATCTTGACATTTACGTCAATATTGTAAGAACTGATAATAGCATAATGACATTTAGCTCATGGAAAGCTAATCCATAAATGCAAGTTTTGTGTGTTTCAAAGATCTTAAAAGACTTTTAGCTGTTCTTCCTAGCAATCAAAATATTTTACTGAAAATAAAGTATGTTCCTCCTACTCCACCTGATATATATATATACTAGCTTGTCAGGCAGACGTTGTTCTGCACTTTTTAAATGACCCTTTGTCTTGTCCTATTAAAAATCCTTAAATTCGCAAAAAAAAAATATTTTGGGCCACTCATGGTCAACAACATCACACTAATTTATATATATTAAGATATATAAAACGAGAACATAGTACCACAGAATAAATAATAGTACTATGTAGTAGCACTATTATTTATTCTGAAGTAAAATGTCTAAATGGGTGCTTTCCTCCCTTTGAAATCATTCATAGAACATTGTCAAGTACTTAATTTCATTGACTTTTTAATTACTTACAACTTTCATATTCTGACTGTATGCATTTTAAATAAATTTTAATTATATCTGATATTTTTTCATTGTACTATAAATGAACATTTTGTCAACTGGAAATTTACACATGGATTTTCTAAATTAAAATAATTTTATTGAATTATACACAATATTTAATCATATTGAAACATGAACAATATAAGTAGTTTATTTACATATATCTAAGAAAAGTTTCTTAACAAATTTGTACAATTTGGTCTTGGTTTGGATATGATGGCAGCGTTAAATTATACTTAGCTATAATTCCCGGTGGTAAAAAGCGCCCACCTAAGTAATGTTTGGCAGTTCCAAGGAATTCTGGTTGTGTACACAGTTTTGGTGCTGACAGAGATATTACAAGAGCAGGTTTTAAAGCTTTATCAGGACCAGGTCCTTTCTCTACATCCCAACCACTTGGAATATCAACACTGAAAATAATATTATCATTTCAATAATATATAGCAATTTATCACCTTTTCTTTTGTTTTATAAAAATTCCATAAGCACAATGGTAGACACAAAGCCCAAATGCAGCCTAATAGATAAATCAGTAAGTGAATGGTTACCTAGGTCATTAGTTAACAGTTGTTTTTATTTTATAGTATAAAGATGACAAACAAGCACACCTGAGGAACAGTGAAAAGGATATCTGGTTCTCTACACTCACCACACGAAGCAGCAGCATTAAGCTTCTATTTGACGCTGGTATTCTGTGAGAGTGTGGTCCTTCCTCGGTCGAGCTGAACCATTAGTGCTACAATCATTATCATATAGCTGCTACTTGGCTCTACCATATATAATAAAAGTTATAAAGTGATGTTCATGATAATCAAAATTTTGTTTGACTGAAAGACACCCTATAACTATAGCTGTGTAAAGATCAGTCAAAACACATAGATTTAATTCCTTTTCTAGAACTGTTGTAATAATATTCATTTTACAAGACTGTGTCAACAGCTAACATATTTTTGCCAAAGCAAGTAAGCTTTGTTAATAAATATTAATAAAATCATTAGCTGACTTCAAAAAAGAAGGGGAAGATTCTTAATTGGACTGTTTTTTTATGTATGGGAGGTGTTATCTTTCTGAATTATGACCCAATTTTAATGATTATTTTTTAAACATAAATAATACTTCACGGTTGGTTACATCCCATTTAAATTTGGAGAAAATATTCCACCCTTTAGGGAGGAAAACTTTGTAGAACTATTTATATAACATTCTAAACTTGTTCCTTTGAGCTTGATAAATTCATTAAGAAGCATTGAACAGTCTTTTCACAAAGATAAAAAAAAAACAATAGAAAGTGTGCATTCACTTACTATTAATCCAATGGAACTCAATTTTAAACAATTTATAATTATGAAACTGCCACTTCATAAGTGCCATTGCAAATTTAAGGAAAATCTTTAAACTAGATGCTCTAATATAAACAATAAAGTTATATTGAGTAATATAGCTAAGCTGCTTTTCAGGTTTTTTTTTAAAAAGAATATTAACAATGCTATAAACATTACTAATATTCTCCTTAACCAATTGTGGTAAGCTTAAATTGCTTGTGTTACGAGTGGTTCACTCCAGTAGTCGAATGGCAGATTCGAACCCACAACCTTTTTGAGTTCGCGGTCCGAGCCCTGCCATTAGGCTACTGTCGCTTATTATTCTAGAGTTATTCTAGTATGTAACTAAGTGGATAGGAAATTAACTAGCTGATTAAGCCATCAGGCTACAATGTACAAGTATTGCCATTACAGCCTATTAACATTGTACTGCGGAACACAGGTCACACCCATGAGTGGGATATTTGCCAAAGTTACCCCACTTGGTAGACAGGTTGGCACTACGCAACCACAGTTTGTTTATTTTTAAGTTATTAGTCAGATGTTGCTGCCCATCTCCTGGTTTGTTTTCCCCTGTCCCTTTTTATGATAATTATAGAGTGATATGAGTTGTGGATATTCTTATATTACCATTATACAGTCAAATATTTATAAGTATTGTGTAATTTATTATGTTACACAATGTGTGTTATTTTTTTACATAAAAATAAACATTAAATATCTCCTGTACCTGCAAACTGGTAATCCTCCATCAATTAATGCATCTAAAGCAGGTTTTAGTGATTCTCTTACTGGAGGTTTAAAACTAAAACCAAAGAGTGCATCAACCAGTACTTTATAATCTTTCTGCAATTCATTTGGTGGGGGTAAGCAGTCCAATATATTAACTCCGAATTGTTTGCACTGATGAAGCAAACTCTCATATAAGGGTTTTGGTGTTCGTTTAGGATAATGCACTGAAACATTATAGCCAAATAATGTCAAGTGACGAGCTGCTACAAGACCATCACCTCCATTATTACCTGGGCCACACACAATTAGGGCGGAATTGTGCCTGCAAAGCGTAAGGAGACTTGAAACTTGTAAGACCAAAACATATATCATGGATTACAACGGTATGTATATAGTAAATATTTACGTTGATGTTGGAAAAGCTTTTGCAACCGCTGCAGCTACACTTAAACCTGCCAATTCCATAAGCTGGTCAACACTAAACTTGTATTCATTGAACAGATCCTGATCAAGCGCAACTGCTTCTTCTTGTGTTAAATAATGCATGTTACAGGTGTTAGAAAGTTTACTACTAGTTACTGAACTTCTGAAGACATTAACGAAAGGCAGCTGAAATTCGAGTAATTAAGTAGTGTTTACGATACATATTAGTTAAACATAGTGATACATAATAAGTGACGTATTAGATCATTACTACTACCAGCAAAACACTTCTGAACAGGTTGTTGATTAACTTTGACATCTAGTAATAGGGAATTCCTTATATAACTTGCTTTTGCTTACTTTCAGTATCTTTTTTAGTAATTATATAATCCTTTAGATGTTCTGAGATTTATTATTTATTTGATTTATTTCTCACTATTTATAAAAGTAAAAGTCAAAACCAAAATCAAATCTCTAGTACATAGGTACATAGTCAGTAATCTATGGTATCAAATCAAACATCAAAAATAAATGTATTGTTTAGTTTTTTTAACTAACCTAACCGGCTTTACAGCTCTGGGTTCTAGCCCTTATGAGCCTATCATTTCTTTCGCAATCTTCATATAGTAGACTTTGATCTTTGAGTATTCAACCAACTGGAGAGGCCATGCGCGTTAATTCCTAAACAAAAATTCTGTCAACATCAGGGGGGCGTAAGAAAAACACACTACTGTATTCTTTACTACAAATGCAAAATTAAATCGCGTCACTATAAACGCACTATAATAATGTCAGTCTCGAAATTCATGAGTACCGATTTAGCTTTATCTAGCCTGGTAAATGATTTTTTATAATTTTTTACGTTTAATGCCTGTATCCATTGGACCATATTTTTGAGTCTAAAATATCGAAACATTGAAAGCTGTTAGAGTAACCTTCGAACATAGGTAATTTTATCACATTTTCGCAAAACAGCAATGCATCAGCAACACTTCTGCTAAAAAGTTAGGCAGCAAGGCGGACATTCATGATTTTCGTTTCGAAATATATATGATTTGCTTTCAATTTATTAGCCATATAAAATAATTCATCCTGTAATTTTTGAAGTTTTTGGATGTATGACCACTAATGGAATTTTCCGGAACGTCCAGCTTTCTTTTTATCGATGTAGACGATGTTGCACGTTCACTACGATCAGCCTAAAATAAATAATTTACTTATGTAAGTCAGAAGATTCAAGCTATATATATACAAATTGAATTTTTAAGATTAATGCTTTTGTAAACTATCGAAATTCTAAAATATTTTCAAGTGGAATAATATTGGTGTCAAAGGTAATAATAAAAATATTTAATCTAAATATAATTACAGCCAAACATTACCGCCCACAACTTCAAGGTTGGTACTACAGTCTCGG